CGTGGGAAAGAGGGTGGCGGCTGCAGTGTATGAGGGTCCTTGTTCCAGCTGTGGGTTTAGAAAATCCCTCACATTTAACTAGAGATGCTCCACGCGCTAGGACACGTGCAGGACGAGAGGTAAAACGCTGAATGGCAAGGTCAAGTCCAGAGCAGAGGAGTGGAACTTGCCGGGCTGCCCTGAAGGAAGATGTGAGTTGGAGAGGGCTGGACTCAGAAGCCGGCAGCTGGCTCAGGAATAGCGGCGTGGCGGAGGGCGCCCTGGCGCCAGGGGTTCCACAGCGACCTGGAAAATGTGAAGATAGTTCTTAACACAGTTTTCCATACACAGGTGGCCCTGTCCTCGCTACTGTGTCTCATTAGCCTGTACTTATGGAAGCTGGAGGTAATCTAGCTAAGAAAAAAAAAAAAATGTCATCTTAGAACCTTATAGCTGGAAAGCATGTTTGAAATCAAACCGAATGGAGAAAACTACTAGAACAAACAAAAGGGTTAAAACTGGTCGACCCCGCCCCCCCAAAAAAGAGTGGTTGCCTGAGAAGCAGGACGGTCGGGGGCGAAGGGGCGGAGCAGGGCACTGTTGTTTTTCTTCATCAGCCTTTTGCCACAATCTGATTCTCTCTTTAAAAACCGTGTACCTGCACTATCTTTATTTAAAAAAAATTTTTTTTTAGTGTATTTGAAAACAAAGAAAGTGATTTACAGCACACCATAAAGGATGTTGAGCGGTCTCAAAAATGCTAGAAATGGTAAAATCTTCTTGTAATTATCGCCCGAAAAAGGCGGTGCTGTGAAATGCAGACTCGGAGCCGCTGTCAGCAGCCCTCCCGAGGCTGAGCGCGGATGCCGGGAGACGGTAAACTGCGCGCGGCGGCGCCCACGGAGGCAGCGGTGCGGGACTCGCCCGACTCGCGTGAGGCGGTGGCTGCGCTGTGCGCACGCGCAGAGCCGCGCATTTCCTGTCTTCCCGGAAGTCCCGGGGCGGTGATTTGAATGGACCGTAAGATGCTAGGGGTTGGCAGCTTCTCCGAGAAAAAGGTGGGCAGTAGCAGCCAGAATTCAATTCTAATGGTGCCCACAGTGGCCCCCCCTCGTCTCTCGCAGCTTGAAGAGGCCACTTACTGCCCCGCCGGGACAGTCGTGGATGAGCCCAATGGAGGTTGAAGAGGGGGCAAGCGCCCCTGACCCCGGATAGGGACTGGGCCCCGCTGAAGACCAGGAAGACAGGAGCCGGGTCCTCTGCAGCCAATCCCGGCAGCTGGTGGAAAATTTCCGACGGAGTCGAGAGGGTATGCTGAGTTCTCCAAGCGACAGGTGAACGGAGGCACTTGGAGTTAACTCGCTGTTGAACGAAGTGTTGGGCCCCAGAGCAGCAGTCCTGGATGCCCCGTGCCTTGTTTGGCTTTCAGAGTTAGGTAAAGGAAAAGCAAATCAGATGTTCTCTAAATCATTGGATTTAGCACCATTCCTTGAACTTCTCTCTTCTCTGAGATTGTCCCTCTCACCTGATGATGACCTTTGGAGTAATACTGGACAGGCATGTGTAGATTTAGTGAAGAGTCAACATTGCACCAAATTTTGGGTTGATTCAAGGTTCATTCAAGGCAGAGCCTCCTATGCCAAAGCATCAACTTGAACGTCAGTAAAAAACAGTGTAAATTCGAAGAGAGTAGAGCAATGCCCACATACTTGGAAAATGTGGAGGAGGATGATCAAGAAGGGACAGAAAAAGAGGTGGAGAGAATCTGGGAAATGTTGCGAAATTAGTCTTGAGACACTCCTAAGTCATCTCTGTCCTTCTTTTCCTTAATTGGTACAGATTCTTTTTCTCTCACTGTGGAAATATTCATATATCCTTCAATATAAGAGATGGTTTAGCAAGAATGAGGCTTGACAAAAATAAACTGCCAGTAATAGAGCCTCTCAATGAAGACAGTGAATGAAGTGACCAGAATCCCCAAGTTTGGAAACAGGTGTTATAATAGTTTTTGATTTACAGTACTGGAAGGAATCTGCAAAATTTTAAAAGGTCCAATGCTGTGATTTCTTCATGTTACAGGAAAGACTGGTTTCTTTTTTTGTGTGTGTGAGGAAGATCAGCTCTGAGCTAACATCCATGCCAATCCTCCTCTTTTTGCTGAGGAAGACTGGCCCTGGGCTAACATCTGTGCCTATCTTCCTCTACTTTATATGGGACGCTGCCGCAGCATGGTCTGACAAGCGGTGCATCAGTGAGCGCCTGGGATCAGAACCTGGGCCGCCAGCAGCAGAGCGTGTGCACTTAACCACTATGCCCTGGGGTTGGCCCCGGTTTTTTTTTTTTTTTTCCTGAGGAAGAACAGCCCTGAGCTAACATCCATGCCAATCTCCTTCTTTTTGCTGAGGAAGACTGGCCCTGGGCTAACATCCGTGCCCATCTTCCTCCACTTTATATGGGACGCTGCCACAGCATGGCTTGATGAACAGTGCGTCGGTGCGCACCCGGGATCCGAACCCGAGTTGCCAGCAGCGGAGTGCATGCACTTAACCGCTACGCCACGGGGCCAGCCCCAAGTTTCTTTATAAAAGGGAAATGTTATTTTAAATGGATAGTAAAATCCAAACAGAAAGAAGTATATATTATATAATGAAACCGATTTTCAAAGTATATCTGAAATTTGTCTTAATGTCTCTTCCTTGAGAGATAAAGATGTCAGTCTTCTGTGGGAAACAAAAATTCATTGGCACTATCATAAAAGGGAAAAAATGAAAGAAATCTGGCCTTTCATTTTACAGATGAAGAAACCATGACCAGAAAGGGAAATGACTTGACAAGGCTCACGGTGAATCAGAACTGAGAACTGGAGCCCAGCCATGCTCCTTGGCCCAGTGCCTCTCCTTACTCTGTGGGAGCTCATACCCTATTGTAACAAACATGATGTGAGTGTGGCATCAGATGATGCTCAGAAATCTCTTCATCATACTAAGTACTGGTGGGAGATAAGGGGACTGGTTCTTTAGGATCCAGACAGGATGTTAAGAAAATCTTAATGATCAGAGCTCTCCTAAATCATAAAGACTTCTTTGGGAGATAAAATGGGTGAAATCCTTTTTTTCCAGAGGAGCTTAAGCAGGGGCTGGATAATCACTTATTGGGGTTGTCAAGGGTATTCAAACCTCTGAAGTCCCTTCCATCTGTGGGTCTGATTCTTTGGTTACCAACTGCCTTTCAGGGCATATGTGGCCAGGAAGTACAGGGAGGAAGGAAACTAATCCCTCTTCAGTGTCTGTTTTGAGTCAGGTATTGTGTTGTGCATTTCACATATGTTAATTCATTTAGTCTCCACAACAAGCTTTCTAGGTAGGTATTATTCTCAGTCAGCCTTAGGAGTTCACAAAGGTTAGATAACTGCTCCAAGCTATGGAGATAATAGGCAGCACAGCTAAGACTGTAATACACCATCTCATTTCCAGATGAGTGGGCAGGAGAGGATGATTACACAGATTGTTTCCCAGCCTCTCCCCAGGGTAGGTAACCCCTTGCACTGCTCAGTGAGTCTTCAGGGCAGGTAACTCCCATTATCCTCCTGTTCTGACTAACAGCTAGGGATGAAGCTGCAGCAGAGGCCCGGGACACTCCTACTAGGAGAAAGGCATTTTGGTTGGCACCTCTTCACAAACACTCCAGAGTTCCAGAGCTTTGCATAACAGGCAGATTCTCATTGAACAACGAGGCCAAACTTTGCTTCCCAAATTCTCAGTTTAATCGTTTGCTCTGGATAAAGAGATGTGGGATTCAGCTTTGAGACAAGCTCGGACCACAATGATAGGAACTGGTTTGTGAAGGAAGAGGCTGGGATGATGAGATCCAGGGAGACAGTCAACATCTGGAACTCAAGTAGTTTGTGATACTCAAAGCCAGCAAGATCAATTTATATTCTTGGGTGAATAGCCATTTCCATCAGGATCCAACTAATTTCTGGTGCCCCGGGGAGCATAAGCCAGCCTCCCCTTGAGAGAGAGGGGATGTGCTAAAGGCAAGCTCCAGAGATGTCATCCTATTCCCATGCCTTCTGCCTTTCTAAAGATGAGCCTGCCTCCTGCCCTGCTGTTACTACTCAGATTAAACATGTTCCCCATGTTCATTCTATAGCAGAGACTGTACATTTCTGCTTCCTGAAAAGTTGTGGGCATAGAGATGTAAAACTCACCCATCAGCTGTGGCCTACCTGAGGCATGCCAGTCATCTTCCTACTCAGGTATCTTCCAATGGCTACCAGTTAGCCACAGAATTAAGTACCAACTCCCTAGCCTCCACAGTCTGGTTCCTTTCCAGCCTTTTTACTCACCCCTTATAGCGCACACTGTACTGCCCATTCTGGACACATTAGATTCCTCCTTCTTTGACTAGATTCTGCCCTTCCCTGCTTCCAGTCCTCTGTGTGGTTTCATCTGCTGGAATGTTCTCCCCCTAACTCAAATCTTCATCTTCCCTCAAAGTACAGCTTCAGTGGTTAAGATTACAAGGCAAACCTGACTTGAGCAAACTCCTTTACAAGACAACCGGGGTCCAGAGCAGTTGGATAAATAGGGTGGTTTGCAGTTCACTTCTAGCTCAGAGGTCACCTGGGGGATTGGGATCTCTGCAGAGACCTGCAGAACCAACCTGCTTCCAGGAGGCTCCCCATTTTTCATGCTGCTGGGACGAACACTACCCCTTAGGAGAAACTGGGCAGCAGCGGCTGAGTCACACAGGCTGCCAGGGGTCAGCCAGGAGCAGAGCTGTGTTTCTTGGCATTTCTCCCAGTTCCTCTCGTGGCAGACTTCCGTGGCTGTGCTGGGATTCAGACAGATCTCTGTGTTCACAGTGCAATACTTCAATTCACTCAATCAGGATTTATTCACTCTAGTGTTCCTCCCACCTTAGCCCCATTCCCTCCACCCACGATCACAGTACCAAAATAATCCTAAAATGGGGCAGCTGTGCTGGAATCGAACACCTCCTGCCATGCCTCTTACCCTCTGCATGCTCTCAGTCACCTCCTGAAGCAGACAGTCCCCCTAACCTGCAAACCACATCCCAGCACACACCTTGCCAGGTTGGAGCAAGTCCTGGTACCCAGAGCAGTTTGCTTTGCTTGTCCTTGCAATACCAATGATCTCACAAACACCTGGTTGACCAAGCAGTCCTAGCTCTAACTTCCCACAGAAAAGTGGGTGACCAGAGGGCAGGAGCCAGGTCCCATCAGTACCTGTGATTGTGTCCCAGACCCCCAGAACATGGGCCCACTCCTCTCATCAACTAGGCTTGGCCAGGTCTTGCAGAATGGGGCTCTACTGAGACCCAAGCACATTAGCTGTTTGGTAGATGAACTCCTTCCTGGCACCCACCAGATATTTAGAGTATGGCTGAATCTAAAAGGAAAGGGAAAAGAGAGTCCAATGTCCCTTAGATGAAGGTTTATATCTCAAAGCAAGAGTGGTCTGTGAACTTCTAATCTTCAGAACAAACTCTGGGCATGTCTAGGTCTGTCCACAGGACACAAAGTCTTAGCTCCATTTTGAGCCATGGCTCAGACCAGCCAGGCTCAGTGACAACTCCTGGTTCCTCAATTTCATGGCAGCCTCAGCAGAAGCTTACATTCCTGCCACAGGTGTCACTGAAGGTTTATCCCTGCTCAGTTCCTGACAAACACTTGGCCTAGGGCTCTGAACTGATGAGCTGGCTCCAGAAAGTGTTACTCATCAGAGGTCAAGCCCACTGGCCTCATAGAGCAGCTGTGCACCTGGGATCTGAGCTTCTCCACGTCATCTTTGTTCCCTTTGAGGTTTACATCTTCAGGGTCCCACTGTGGAGAAAAGACACAAAAGGTACTCTCGTGGAACAGACCCTCCCCATCTCTTTTAATCCCCCCAACAACAGCTCCAATCGTATTCTCGTGGCCCAGATACAGACAAGGACAAACAAGTAAGGGCAGGTTAACTAGGCCTGTGTTTCTAGGACCTAATGGGGCAAGTGTAACTTTAAATCAAGGAACTAATGGGTAGCCACTGTGAGCAAACCAGCACTGCTTCCCTTCCCACCCTCTTTTTCCCTGTCTTCACCAAGTCCTTCTCTAGTAAGACTGAGTCATGTTCCCTGTATCCTGAGAATTCCGACCTCCATGCCTAACTCATTTCTGGAAAGGACCAGGCAAACTCAACCCATTCTTTATGGCCCAGATAAGTACCTCCTCTTCCAGGAAGGGCATCCTGACTGCTTACACTGAGCTCTCGCCCCCTTCTCTCTTTGTACTGCCTGTATCACTCATTTGCAGCTAAGCAGGGACAGCCCTGCCCTTTCTCTTGGCGTCCACCTTGTCCTCTCAGGTAGATGATGAGCTCCAAAGAGCAGGGCACCCGTCTGCCCTTGTCCCCCACATGGTGTTTCCTCTAAACTTGAGGTCAACAGACTTGTCAAAAACAAACACTTAAAACCTAATTCAAAGTGGTGGTCACTGCCAGTGACTATTTCACCCGTCTGACTCAGGCAAGTATGGGAAATTGAAATTTGCAGGGGTAGGAGTGAAAGGTTAAACAAAAGACGTGGGCATATCAGCATTAATGAAGCTGTTTGCAAAGTCCTCCTTTTGTTCTAATATGATGGATGGGAGAGAGAACTTTGCACACGTGCCAAGAGCAAGGGAATCCTTAGTGATTCCTGCCATGGAGGCAAGTGGGGGTTGGGCTCAAGTCCTCCTTCTGCCACTGACTTGCTTTCTCTTCTCTGGGCCTCAGTTTCTCCATGTGTAAGTTGGGATGTTGGATCAGCAACTAGATAATACAATCTCTTTTATTTCTGAGTTTCTGTGACTGATGATTCTGAGACATAAGGTCATATTTGACAATATCAAAAGACCCAGGAGAGCCAGCCCTGATGGCATAGTGGTTAAAGTTCCACGCACTCCGCTTCGGCAGCCCAGGTTTAGTTCCCAGGCGCAGAACCACACCACTCATATGTCAGTAGCCATGCTGGGGTGGCGGCTCACATAGAAGAACTAGAAGGACTTACAACTAAAATATATAACTATGTACTGGGGCTTTGGGGAGGGAAAAAAAAAGAGAAAGAGAAAGATTAGTAATAGATGTTAGTTCAGGGAGAATCTTTCCCAGCAAAAAAAAAAAAAAAAAGACCCAGGAAACAACAAGCAAAGGCCACATAGGATATGTCAGCCTGGGCCAGGCAATCTATTTGGGCAAGAAAATAAAGCCAGGCATGGACGTGCACTCCAAGAAAAACACCCCACCAGCCGCTCAAACTTGAGCTGAATCAAACAGTCCAGTCCTTAGAGGTCGGAGATAAGGTCTTTAAGGCTCCCTGAGCCGCTGACAGATAATGCCCACTCCATGCCCGTTATAAAACTCAAATTGTGGCTTTGTTTTGAACAGAAAGAAAGAGCCCAGTTCGATTAGTGATTTACTGATAACAAGTGAACGAAGTTCTACTCCTTGGTAACTAAAAACAGCATCATGTTAAAAGACCACCTCATCCCAGTCCCCCTGTGGGCCAAGGACTAAGCTGATTTGGTTGGTGCAGCTCAGCCCCCTGTACCTGTTTGGGGCTGTACCAGCCGCATTTAGTGCTAACTTCTCATTTACGTTGCACACTTGGGGGGACACCTCTAAGCAAATTCCTTCCTGACATTATCAAAGACCCCAAGTAAAAGAGGTCCCCGGCCCTCAGCCTCCGTGGCCCGGTTGCCCAGTGGTGGAAGTAGGGGCCCATTCCGTTCTCTGAGGATGGACAGCATGCTTTCAGATGAATGCTGTTTTCAAGCTGAGGCCAACATTCTAGATCACAGTTCTGAGTGTGCTCTGGACCAACCTCACCAGAGGGTCCAGGGTGCTCACTGAGAAGGCTGATGCCAGGGACCCACCCTAGACGCTATCTGTGGGTGGGGACCTAAGGTCTGGCATATTAACAATCTCCTAGGGTGATCTTAGCTGCCCTGATGTTTCAGAACCACTGCTCCAGCTCCTGAAATGACTTCTTAAGAGTTACTTTTGCTCCTCCTGACTAGTTCAGCTGCCTGTACACAGAAGCAGCTGCCATTTTGATCAGGTGCACGCTTTCAAGTGGGTTAAGTCTTTGAGAACATTTTAAACCTCTTCCTTCTGAACCCTCAGAATAATGTGTTTTTAAACTTCTTTTTAAGTAATAAAAACATTGCTGGAATCCAGGCATAAAGAGAATTTGAGCAAAAGATGATCTACTCTTATCAGAAAAAATCCTGGGAGATGATGGGCACAGGTAGTCGTCATAAAACATGTGCTCCTCTATCACTTGGAGGCGGGGGTGGCACGGGGGTGGCATGGAAACAGCAGCCAGCTGTCAGAATGACAATGTGGGTATTGTTTATGTCTACTACGGCAGCCACTCTCAGCGCCACTAATGACCTGCAGTCACTCCCCTTGTTCACAGACCCTTGTCCACACCATACATCTTCCTCCGTCACGCATCTTCTCTGAGTCCCTACTAGATGGTCAGCACAAAGCAGAAAGAACTCTGAACTGAGAGAGCCCCGAAAATACCCTGATCCTCAGACTCGCCTCTGGTTTTCACATTCTTTTTTTTCCTAAAGGAATCTGGCACAGGCCCAGCCACCCAAGGGGGGCTAACAAAAACAGGAACTGAAATCAGCCACAGGAAGTCCCTTCTGGAATAGAGAGAGAGCATGATCATACCTGCTCCGAGTTTAGACTTCCCAACACTTTTGCTGCAGAATAAACAGAGAGATAGAAAAATGTGTTGGATAGATTTTGCCACCATCACAGAGCAGAGCAGAGCTCAGCACCAGCCTGTGTCTGCTAAGTGAGCCAGGAGGCAGGCCCTCCAGGTCTGGGCAAAGGAACAGCTGACTTCAGCAGGCAGAAAGGCAGCAGCTTCTAGCAGCTTCAATGTAGATAGGATAATTGTGATAATTATAAAGGGCTAGAGGTCCTTGGAAAAATTATACATATTTTAAAATTACTATTATTAGAAATTATTATTAGGCATAATTATAATAATAGTAAATCATCTTCCATTTTCTAACCACATGGCTGAGATGAGTCAACTCAAACCCATAAAACTAAGAAAGAGAAATGCAAATAAAATCCCCACTTTGAAAATATGGGGTATTTGCTACCTGCCAAGATTCAGTTTTAATCAGCCTTTCCTGCACGGTTGGTTCTACCCCCAGCCTCACACATGTCTGACTCTGGTTCTCGAAGGGCAGTATCGCGGTCTGCACCCTCGTCCAGCACCTCGTGCAGAGCCTGGGAGACGTGTGTTTCTGACACAGAATCTACAAATGTCTGCTATATCAATCTGTGAACTTCTGTTACACTGAACAGCTGCCAATCTGAACGGTCCACAGGATTTGGCACTATTGTCACATTAAAACAAAGCCTCTACTGTCTTTTAAATTTCCATTTTGAACAATTTTTTAATTACAAGATTTTCGATCATATACAAAGTAAAAGACTAATCTAATGAACACCCATGGACACATCCTGTTTTATTTGCTCTAGCTCCCCAATTATTTTGTTTGCTGAAATATTTTAAGGTAAATACTTTCATCTGTAAATACTTCAGTATGGATGTCTGGTTAAGGACATTTCTTTAAATCCTAAACACAATGACATTATTAAAGCTAAAAAATTAGTGATAATTCCATAGCATTCATCTTTTAATGACCTGTTAGGGGGGATACATAAACTGAAAAAAAAAAAAGATTATTGGAGAAGACACAAAATTACTAAAAATGATGGTTCCACACACTGCAAAAGACAGAAATGTGGATGACAAAACAGGGGTTGAAAAAGTTAAATAACTTTTACAAATGTAATGGAAATGAAAAGAGAAAGGAAAGAAAAAATGCTAACCTTCACCTTTCTTTAGAAAATACAAATGTTCATGCAAAATAGTAACAGTAATCTGTGGTTACCACAGTGAGCGGGTGTTCTGTTTGTTAAAAAAAAGTACTCAGTGCAATGTGATATACTGGATTGTATCCTCGAACAGAATAAGAACATTAAAGGAAAAACTGGAGAAATCCCAATAAAGTCTGTAGTTTAATTAATAATAATGTACTAATGTTAATTTCTCAGTTTTGACAAATGGAGGATGGCTGTGTAAGATGTTAACATTAGGGGAACCTGGAAGAAGGTATACAGGAACTCTGCACCTTTGCAACTTTTCTGTAAATCTAAAATTACCCCAAAATAAAAAAGTTTATTTAAAGCCAAGCAAACAAAGAAGCTTAAGTCTCCCACTGGATTACAATGAAACTTCCTTTCCAAATCTTCAGCCTCACAGGCAAGTCTACAATTTAAGAAGAGTGCCCTCTAGTGGAGGTCAGAAGTCAGGATTTCTTTTTTAAGTTATTTTAAATCCACGATGATAATGTGCCTAAGGAGTACATTAACCCAAATCTTTGTAACTGAGGTCTCTCCCCACCACCACCACCCCAAAAAAGTAACAGCAAATAACATTTTATAGTCTTTTCCCCATTCAAAAAGCAAAATGTGTTCATTTTTGTATAGAAATTTAAAAAAAAATCACCCATAATTCCACCCCCACAAGACAGCCTCTATGAACAGTTACTGAATAGCCCTCTGAAATACACATACACACAAATCAAACTGTGCAAATGACTTTTCTCCCTTAATATGTAATGAGCATTTCCACATATCCTTAAATTGTCTTAGGACCACAATTCCATCACCACTGTAAATCACAGCAAATAGTATTTCAATTCACCTCATTTCTTTTTTTTTTTTTTTTT